TACAAGCCATGAATCTTAATTAAACAAGGGTTGGGGTTTTCTTTGGGAACAATCACCTCTTTAAAGTTATCAGAGTTAAAGAAAGGGTAAATCTGAGATGTTTCAAAGAAAGGGATGACAGGTAATTTCAGAAAAGCTGGGAGAAGCAAGTAGAAAGAAGTTAGTGTTGAAGCTAGAGGGAAAGTTCTTACTTTTAGATTTGATTGAGAAAAATCCTGTTTTTAGAGTCATCTGATGTTTTTAGGTCCATGTGGAGAAAGTAAGGATTTGTTTGAAGGATGAGAATGCCATGGATGTTGGCATGTGATTTTCAGAGCTGTTTGGGTGAGAGTGACACCATGACTGCAATTTATGCCATACACAAGTGATATAACCACAAAGAGAAAGAAGAGGGGGTAATAGTGTGACCTGATTATGAATTTAAAGCTGATGTAATTGAACACTGAAACAACAAATTGAGGATTCAGACATAGACCCCATCAACCAGAGCTGTATAAACAATCCCAACCACCTTCAAGGATGAATATTAATTGGACAATCACCGTCAATGTAATCAGCACTAAAAACATTGTCTTTCTAAATTCATATTCACACAAGTTCATTTGAGGGCTGTATATAATTTTAACTGCAAAAGAGCAATGGAAATTTGAGTGTGGACCCCTAAAAGAAACTGCAGGAGTAATGTTAACTGCAATGACCATCCACCATATGAGGGCATTTGAGACCCCTAGTTGTAGGCCTTCCAGCACTTTTGAGACCTTAAATTGCAATAGAACAGCTACTGCAGTTACCAATGTGAGACCAATACCTGGAGCAAAACATGATAATTGTCTTACAACATTCCAGCTCCAGTGGACTATAGGGGGCACTGCCAACAACATGAAGCTCATTATGAAAAGCAGGACACAGATATATAAGCACACAAACAACATATATGGGGTCAGCTACATGAATCCTGTTTGACATTCTGTTCTGTTWAGTGCCATATCCATTAAATTATGAGCACTTAAATCAATTCTTACTACTTCAACCAATTAGGTAAACATCTAATCACTAATTAAATAAATAATAGGCCCATATAAACGTACAGACAACACAACAAATCATTGGATGGTTTCATGACCAGTTCCTCAGGGGGTGTTGAGGAATGATATAGCAGGGGGAAAAAAAAAAGCTTCGCTGCCCAATCAACTTAACCACTGGAAGTTTCATATTTTGATAATAAAATTTTCTTTTCAATGATCAAAAAAATCAACTTGACTACCTTAACCATTTTCTCAAGGCAATGACAAAGGCATCCAACTGTTCAGGAAAAAAAAAGGATTTTGCCAACTGGGGGGCTGGCATCAAATATATTATGCTCCAAAATAGAAAAATACTGGTAAAAAAATGTTTACTGGAGGCAACACAACTTTTTTTCTGAAAGAAAGGTAACGAAATCTGTATATGATAAAGAAATTACTGTACTCACTACAATTACTAGATAGAAGACAACTTCAAAAAACAGTAATTAATAGAAATTTCTTTTCTGAATTCTCCAGAGTTTTAAATGGTTGAAGTAAGTTTCCTACATAAGATTATTCTGATACATGGTTTTTTCACTGAAAGAAAATTAATCTTTTCTTTTTTTTTTTTTACAATGCTCCATTTTAAAAGCCCACTAGCCTGAAGTCACTAGCTAGTAAAACCCACTAATTAATACCAATGCTCATTGTGATTTTAACATTACCAAAAAAGAAAAAAAAAAAAAAGCAATATTGAATTATCATAGGCATGCTTTGTACTTTTGACTGCAAAGGTACATTAATGTTCTGCATAGGTGGGACATAGCCAAATGAAGGATATAGTAGAAAAAACTCAGAAACAGATTTGTCAACTCATGAAAGTCATCTATAAGCCTAAAAAAAGTACAACCTTCATGTGTATATTGGCTGTAAATGTTGATTCAGGGCCCAAATCACAAATTGTTGCCAAAAAGAAACAAAGAATTTTCAAGAAGGGATAAAACTTACTAATTGCCAGGAGTTCAGAGTTCCTATAATAGGAATTTGTACAGCACTGGATTCAGGAAATCTTCCACTCTGTCAAAAGCAACATAAGTTTGCTGCACTTATCCAAATTATGAGCATGTTGTGGATGAAGGGAAAGCAGTATGAAGGGATATAGACATACTAATTTACTTCTAACATGTTTTCAAATTGTATGTCAAGAAGAAATCCTTGGACCAGATCTCATTAGCACCATGTAATTTGTAATGGTGAGACCCGACACCATAAACAATTCAATAATTAATATATGAAAGCCACATGATTAGCAAGTTGTCCACTCTCTGTATACCAAATAACCCTTCAGAAGTCAGAACTTTAAGAATGGAATAAAAATTCAACARGGTTTATTTTGAACCATTTCCTCTGGGGCCACGGGGGTTTGGGACTTGAAAATAGGTTATTAGTTTAGATCCTTGACAAGACAAATCCACAAAAGTCAAGTGATTGCAAATTGCAATGACGACTAAAAGTTAATTTCACAACTCCATGAGTATAAAAATTTTTGTTCTTCTTTTTCTTCTTTTATGGATTTTTTTCCAATAATTGAACTAATTCAATGGATAAGGTGGTAGAAATGCCATGAAAATGGAAAAGGCGTTAGAGCAGAATTTGGGGTGTTTAATGTCCTTTAGCCTTATTATTAAGAGATAACGTTTTTCATTGGATATGGCACTGAACAGAATGGAATGATGAAACAGGAATCATGTAGATAACTCCATATAGTTGGGAGTTGGGATAAGGCTGTAATGCTGGTGATGGCAATCATGGCATTAACATTTTTTATTCTATTGTTTAAGACAGAAGTTAAACCAAGTTTACTATGCTAACATTTTGCACCAAATGGAATTACGGAAACAACTACAAATGACAATTATTCCAATGATTAATAAAAAAATAAGATTATGGAAGACCAAATAAATGGTTTACCATGAAAACCAAGAAAGAAAGTCTTATAATGTTGTTCAACATAAAATACTGATAAACATGCTATGAAAATTGGAATTACATCTTTTCTGAGAACTAAAATGACAGGACCACCAAAATTGAATACATTGATAAAACACATTTAAAAAATAGAAATAAAAAAATCCTTTAAATTAACTTGATATAAATCAATCTAATACATTACCTTTGTGACACTAGCAGAAGATGCATGGTAATAGAAATTTGCCATAGCCGTTGTGCTTCTTTGCAATGAAACCATTTTGTCTAATGTCTATACATTTATCTCTATTGCCTTTCCCTCTTCCCTATCAGCCTTAGACGTAAATGAAGTAGACATCTTAGTTTTATAAACTTAACATGTTCAGAGAAACAACACCTCAGCAACTCCTGGTCATTGAAGTGATAATGTTTTTTTTATTGATCAATTTTCAGGTGATATTATTTCAATAACCAAACTAGTATTACTCTATGGTGTATATAGGGAACATAAGCAAGGTCCATGAAACTTTCAATCAAAATTTCCTACATGAAAATTCATAGATTGATAATTCTCAGATAAGGCTTTAAATTTCATTGCAGTAGTTAGTCAGTGTTTTATTAACACATTCCCAGGTTCCTGCAGCAAAATTAAATAGTTACTTGCAGTAAGTTAAGGTATTTTAGCACATTTATTCTTGATATTGTGTTCATTTGAATTCATGCCTTCATATAAAGCACCTATAAAGACAAACATCTGTGAAGCTTTCACGAAAGCAAGTTCTCATTAGCATTTTTTTCCGATCAGCAATAAGGATTGATTCATTAATTTCTCATTAGCAATTCTGCAAGCTAGACCAGTCCTCGCCAGAAAATGAAAGACTAAATTGACCTAAAATACCTCAGCACTTAATTACCAATACATAGACTAGGGTAACCGAACCAGTACCACAGGTTTTTGGAAAACTGGTAAACGAAACCGAACCGAAGCCGGTCGGTTAACGGGTTGACCAGTCTGGCTAACCRTCAGTTCGGTTCGTCGGTTTTTCAGTTTTTTAATTTTTACAATATATTATAAAAATATATAAATATATAATAAAAAAGTACAAATGTATATAAAATATTATATTTTAAATAATAAATAATATATCATATATTATAAATATATATTTATATATAATGCATATTTATTAATTTATAATATATAATATATATATATAATATACATAATATACATAAATATATATATAATATATAGAAATATATGTATGCCGGTCGGTTCGGTTAACTGTCGGATCTCTATATTGGTTAACCAAAACCGAACTGGTACCTTCGGTTTTTTTAAAACACCGAACCAACCGGTTCGATTAACCAATTTTTCGGTTTTTTTTTTCTTTGCTCACCCCTAACATAGACTAGCTTGGAAACTTTCTGTCATACTCCATGAATTGATGACAATTTCTTAATAAAATAGATTTATCCAATTGATATTATGTTAATACTTCACTCTAAGAAACTGACCATGAAAGAGCAATTAGCACGGAATTTACAGATGATGCACTCAGCCACTTTACAGAATCAATTTCTGGATATTAGCATATCAGTGAATCAATATTACAATCAGCGGACAATTTGAGCCCTCAATTTATAGTTTGGCGGTTATGCTCAAATTACCAAATACCTAAATGGAACTTGAAGAAATACTGTCAACCAAGAGCTTGTAAGTCTATATTACAATCAAAGGTCAACAATATAATACAAGCTGAAAGACTAAGCTCTTAGAGGAGTCAGAAACATACAGTTGGTCTTGATGTCATTGTTTCTTAAACAATGGAGAGATCATTAGGTCTTTAGGGCCAGATTGCAGAGAACACTGAGCCCCAATTTCAGCAAAAGGGTGCAACTTCGGTGCTAATCAGTTTAGACAATTCAATGATAAAGCCTGATACAGGTATGCCTTCAGTCAATTCAACCTAACCAGTCACTGGAATTCAGAAACCCAGGAAAATAACTCCTTTCTTGAACTTTGAGTCAGGAAACTACCTCAATCTCAGCTATTTCTCCCTCATCCATCTTATTCTCCTTTCCAAAAGCAGGAGTTGGAGGTATATCTACTGAAAGGGTGCCTTCTAATACTTTAGCAACTTCCCCAAAGGAAGGTCTAAGGAACGGTGGGTCATGCATACACCAAAGAGCTATTCTAAGCATTCTTTCTACACCTTCCCACTCTACAACACTGTTATTTATCTCAGTTTTGTACTTCCCTTTAACCAAAGTGTACAGGTTGTCTTTAGGTATGTCCCTATTTCCCATTAAAATCTGTAGCAGCATCTCCCCAAACATGTAGATATCTCTCTCAGGTAGTGACTCTGATGAAGCAGCAGCTTCCTTTTCTAGAAATCTCTGGAGTCCAAAATCCGTCACCTTAGGAACTAGCTTCTCATCAAGCAACACGTTCTCAAGCTTAAGATTGCCATGAGGAATGCATTGTTGACAYTCAGAGTGCAAATAYGCAAGGGCTCGTGCYACACCAAGAGCAATATCAAGCCTCTGGTGCCAGTTCAATTGGCTTCTKCCCCCCTTTGTATTGARCAGCCATTTGTCAAGAGAACCATTAGGTATATACTCATATATCAGAATTTTGCGCTTTGACTCAAAGCAGAAGCCTTTTAGAGGCACAAGATTTCGGTGGTGGGTGCCACCCAAGGTAGAAACTCCCATTCTGAAGTCCCTCTCAGAAGATGAAACAGGAGCTAGCACCTTAGCAATTACAGGTGTTCGGTTGGGTAGGATACCTTTAAACACACTTTGCCCAAGTTGATCTGAGAAGTTGGTGGTCAGATCTTTCACTTCTTCATAGGATAATCTGATAAGAGCACTGTAATGTGGGTTCATTTGTGCATCCTTCCCAAAGGGGATTCTACTCTGAGCCTTAATCTGCCTTCTCTGAAGGATGAACCAAAAGACAAACATCTCCAAAGTAAGAAAGGCGGACACTGTTATTAAAACTATTGCAATAATAGCAACCATTAGATTCTTACTACTCTCTACATGAGAAACGGATCTTTTTGATGATATGGGAATTGATGCTCCATTTCCATGAGCATTAGTTTCTTGGGCAGAAACTGCCACTGGAACAGAACAGATCTTCAGGAATGAATTTGCAGGGACAGATGGATCCATATATCCACTGATAAAGTTTGTTCTTTTGATAGTGCAAATGCCAGAACCATTATTCTTTGCAGTCACAGCAGTACAAGAAATGTCTTTGGAACAATACTCTTTGCAACCCTCCTCACTTAACATAATATCGACATCATGAGGGGGATAAAGACTGTAAAGAACAGTATGCTTGAGTACCATTATGCTTGCTTTTGTCTTACAGCTCTGCAAATCAACCATTCTCCTGCACCCAGAAGGACCAGTGTCCATTCCAAGAGGGCCAGCTCCAGAATTCCATGAATACTTGGATAAGCAATCACAAGCGGGTCCTGTTGAATTGTATTTACAGAAGCTATAGAGACCACATGAACCAAAAACATCGCACTGGTTCTCAAGAGCTTGCCATCCCACCTTCCATGTAAGGACACTATTATCCCACGAGTACATTCTCAAGTTACCATCAGCATCCATCCGGAAATGCCTCAAAACCACAGATGGGTCATTAAAATCCCTGCTTGATTCGAACCAAACTGATCTGTTATTAGCGTCAAAAAGTCCAATTACCCCGCTAGCCTGGAATCTTGCTTCCTCGACAACAACAGAGGATGTCAAATGGCTGCTCCAGTAAGTAACATTGTTCTCCCAAACTAGAGAAAGGCCTCCAGAGCGCCGAAGCACAAGATTGTAATAGCTAGAGATAGAATTAGTTGAAGGCGCTCGAAGGGCTTGAGGGAAATGGAGTGACTGACCAGGAAGGAGAGTGTTTGTTGGGCTACTAAAGCTCTCCCAAAGTATTTTGCCCTCATTACCCAGAAGAACCAGATTGCCATTGTCCAGCAGAGTTGCAGTTTGAACACCAATGCTGCTAGTATTACTGCTCCAAACAAGCAAAGCACTGAGGTTATCAAACAATACCAGGCTTCCATCCATGGAAAGCCTCAATGTGGAGTTCTCAGAAACCCTAAATCCATCACCAATAGTCCAAACAGGCACATTTGCAGCTTTGTTTCCCAAGTTATACCGTATCCCAACAACAAACCCATCATATTCTTTCTGATAATCATCCAAAAACCCGAAAGCAAAGACCCCATTCTCAGACACCCAGGTCCTACTTCTTCCGTACCCAGATATCTCAAAACCAAGAGGGACTGAAACCATTGGAAGCACTTCACAAAACCCAGAGGCTAAAGAACCCAAAACAAGAAATAGAGCAAAAATAGAGCCAAAACCACCAGTACAGTAGCGCTTGCAGCACTTACCTTCGAAATGCCTGATGCTAACTCTTGGTTTGAGCTGCTTTCTCCAGACCCCATGCATTGCAACGGGAACCACCGAGTGAATCATTTAGGAATCAATGTCACAGAGTTGGAAAACAAGCAGATGAGGTGTGTTAAAGTTCTGAGGTGGGGATAAAACTAAAAAGCATGATAAAAAGTAGTGAGCTTTATCAAAGATTTTCAAGAGGGGAGACTGGAGACACTGTATTTGAATCTTGGGAACGGGATTAGTAGAGGGGTACTAGCCTAGGCTAGAAGGACAAGAAACAAGTCTTAAATCATTTTTTGAAGAAACCCATTGACATTTTTGCTTTCTCCCTCTCAAAATACCAGTTCTCGGGGGGAATTTTTGTTCTACAGCTGGTTAACAGTCTTTCTTGAATTAAGCAGAATGTTATATTAAATAAAACCCAAATTTTAAAATTTAAATTTGCTCAATTGTTAATCTAAATAATTAAGAATAGCCTAAAAAGGATTAATTCTGATGAGTTCAGAGTTTCTTTTCCTAGTGGGCTCGATGGTGTGTGCCTAACAAAACGAGACCGGATCTGCTCCTGACACCTGGCGTCTCACAGGCGCCTCGCACACATATCCTTCCGTATTTATTAATTATTATTATTCACGAAAGATATTCTCAATGCACGGTGATGTGCTGTAAGGCGCCCATTGTGTGGAGCGGATCCCACTTCTAACAAAACAGGCTAGACTTGATTTTACGCCTTTTTTTATTGAAAGTTGTGCGGACGTTGCAGGAGTGTAATTTGGTTTCATGCAAAAGGACAAGAAATCCAATAGTACGTGTGAACCACATGTCATACAGGCGATCATCATACACAGCCACATTATTGCTCTACCTCTACCATAAATCTGGCTTCTTGGCTCTCCTCCTATTGGATTGGACGGAGACGGGATTCCCTGCAAAGTATGGGAATCCAGCCGCAGATCCGGAACATCTTCCGATATATGCTTGGAGATATTTTCAATGTGTGACTGAATTATGACACTGTTGAATTTATTTTTGTAATAGAGATGAAGAAATTCATTAATATAAAATTTTTAGGAGGTACATATCAACTCAAATGCGCCGAACCAAGTAGAAAAATGGTTTGCCATCAGGGGAAAGGCTTGCACGGGCTAAATGATGAGTTATTCTATTTGTCTTCTTCCCGTAGTGGAGGACTTAAGATTGGGTAAAATGTTATGAGAAGCTACAAATATCTGACCATACATTTTTTAAGGGTTAAAATCAGACTATTTATTGGAATTGATGGCTAAAACAGTTTTTAAAGAATCAGATTCCACCAGAATTTTATCTAACCCATCTTTTAGTGATTCCCAGCTGCCCAGTCGAATGGCTCTTCCTTCACCATCAACGATTGATTGGCAGTGAACTCGGTCTCCTCGAATACCAACTTTCCCTTCCTGGTTCCTTATGACACAGGTGAATCCCGCCCACCTAGAGGATGCATCAAAACTTGCATCACAATTCACCGTCATCCATTGGTTAGGAGGGGGTGCCGTCTATTGTTTGTTACAGTTTTTGGCTCCAAATGTTATATGAGTTGTAGAAGTTCCTTYCACATACTAGTGCTCTTCCTCACCACCGACARAGTTGCCCAAGTATTTGTATCCTCATCAGGGTAGCTTGTCTTTTGAAACCAAGACATGATTCAATTACCTAAGTTCCTAGATTCCACAATCTCATAGATAAAGCCTAATGGGGATTGAAACCAGACTGCTTTCGCGAATGAGCAACTGAAAAGGAGGTGTTTCACATCTTTCTCTTGTCCACATCTTGGTCATATCCCATCAATTTTATTTGTCGATGTTTCAGCTTCATGCTGACACAAATGGCTCGTCAGCACACCTGCCAAATGAAGTTTTAAATTTTAGGAGGAACTTTCAACTACCAAACTTTCTTCCATAAAGTTGGTGGCGCTTGTGTTAAGATTCGGTTATTGGTTGCTCTTCTTGTTTCTTCATTTAACTTACAGGCGATTTGGTAATCATGTTTCACCAAGTACTGACCATCCTTTTGAGTAAGCCCAGATGAGTTTATCTTCCTCCTCTTACATGTTCAATGGTATAGTCAAGATACTTGCAACCTCTGATGCTGAGAACAGTCTGGCCAACATTGTCTGATTCCATCAGTGTAGGTTACATAAAATCAAATCCTTGACTTTCAAAACCTCACATCGCTAGGGTCTGGGGAAATGGATTTTAAAATCCTCTGAGGAACACAACCAAGGGTCTTCCCAAATAAGTATGTTAGCCCTCAAACCAATATGCCAATAGAAATTGCTTTTGAGAAATTCCATACCGTGAGTGATGCTCTGCCAAATCTATGAGGAGCAAGGGGGTAGTTTGAAGTCAATAGTGGCGATCTAGATGAATACAAAGATATTAGAAGTTTTCCCTAAAAGGAATCCAAGCTATTTAGTAGCCTCCATGCCATTTTCCCAAGGAGGGCCCAATTGAAAAGCTTTAGTTTCTTCTGGGGTCAGAAAACAAATGAGAGAAAATTACACTRACTAAATTGGAATAAACTCTGCCTAGACAAATCTAAAGGAGGTATGGACACTATGTTGAATTCGAGTTATAGATTTGAGTTCAAATTCAGCTTAATTTATAAAAACTTATATATTTGATTTGGCATGGCTCCAGCTTGATTGTGAGCTAAACTTCTTATAAAAAAAATAAAAATTATACATATATAATATATAAGCTTGATTAGGCTCACTAGCCTCATAAGTATGGGTGATCATGTCGGCTTGGCTCAACCATCAAATTTTTGGGCTTGGGCCTAAGTGTTTGTGTGCAAACCTGCATCAAGCCCAAAAATTTCTAGGTTGGGCTTGGGCCCAACACTTCAAGTCCAGCCCAGACCTAGCCTGGCCCGTAATATAATATAATATAATATATTATGATATAAAAATATTATATCATGTTTAATAAACTATATATATATATATATTTAATATTCTATATTTTATATGTTAACACATGTGCCAATATAAGAGTCAACTTAAGTATGAGAACAACCCTCTATGGCAAGACCTTCATTCTCATTCGTGAACAATGTGAGACTTCTCACTATTGAATGTTGTTTCAAGTCCCACACTGCTCAAGAGTTAAAAAGGATACTAAGCCAAGCCTAAAATAAGGCATATGCCTTATTTTTTGCACCATAGGCCCAAAGTCTAGTCAAGTCCAACCAAGCTTAGACGTGTAATATTTTCCATTTATTATATATTAATTAATTTAAAAAAATTAAATGATTAAATTTTTATTAGATCCATTGGACCCAAAATCATTAGGCCTGAAAAAGCTCATAAGCTCAACCTGGGCCTGTGTAGGGTCAATTGGGGTGAAATCTAGGCTCGGGGTGTGGGCCAGGTTGGGTTCAAGCCTAGGTTAAAGTCCTTATCCTCAATGCAAAACCCGGCCCATGATCACCCCTACTCACAAGTTGAGTTTCATTGGGCTCAAGCTCAGCTTAATTAGTAATATTAGGCTTGACAAAGCTTGGTCTTAACCTAGCCAAACCAAGCTTTTCATGAGACAAGTTTGAATAGCTAATGAGAAGCTCAATTCATGCCCACCCCTAGGGGTGTCCATGGTTGAACCATGGACAATTTTTGCAAACTGAACCAATCCTATCGGTTTTTCAATTTCTCCAAACTGAAATCGAACTGGTACTACCGGTTAACCGGTTCGTCGGTTTCGGTTTTTGGCTGGTTTAGTTCGGTTTTTTAGTTTTTTATATTTATAATATATMTTATATAAATATATGTATAATATTATATTATAAATAATAAATGATATATAATATATTATAAATATTATAAAAATATATAATATGTATAATATTTATAAATATAATATATGTATACATTTATATATATATATATGTATACATTTATATTTAAAATATATATAAAATATACATATAAATATATATACCAGTTGGTTCGGTTAACCATCAATTTTTTCTAGGGTAACCGAAAACCGAACCACTCCTTCAGTTTTTCAAAATTACCAAACCAATCAGTTTAGTTAACTGCATTTTCTGATTCGGCTTTCTCGATTTGGTTCAGTTTTTTGGTTTTTTGGTTTTTCATGGACACCCCTACTTTTAAGATATCCAACCTCCTCATATTGGACAAAGACAACGGGATTTCCTACAAGTAAAAGCTTTGCACACACTTTGGAAGCATGGGAACTTAGTTGTACATTGGGAACATCTCCCCATAAACTTAATATACACGCTTGTAAGATATTCTTAATGTGTTGTAGGATGCTATATGTGCAGGATTTCTAGGCTCTAGACAATGTGGCGTGCTCTACTTAATTCTACAGACAAGTACTAATACACACGATGCAAAATTCTGAATTCCAACCCCCCCTCCCCCACTACTAATGCATTTCCCCTGTACTTTGGGGCTATAAAATTCTGATMTGGGCTGATTGGTCATTCTCCYTTAATTCTATTTTTTGACTCTTCATTCATCAACACCATTCATTTACCCTTAAAAAAGTAGTCATTCATTGGTGGTYTGTCTCTTCAATGAAGAAGTTCTGAGTGGTGGTGGTGGGATCAATATTTTAAGATTGTAAGACTCCAACCAGATTAAAAACTGAATGTTCAATGGGTCATTGTTCGTGGTTTGACCATCTTATCCGATCCGAAATACTGGGTGGGACAGAATAAAATCCAATATGTGGGAAAGTCTTACAAAAACTCCTTAAAGAAAGGTTCAAAATATCCTTATTGAGTATCAGATAAGTAAACTTGGATATAGATATGGATATGATATTTTTTGGAAATGCATGAATACAATTAGGGTTGGCAATGGGGTAGGTTCAGGGAGAGTTTTGTAAATTCTAGACCTTATTCATCTCTCTAGACCTCCCAACCTATACCCTCCCCAAAACTAGTAGCGGGTTGGATTTGAACCGTTCCTACACATGAAAATACAAAACCTTCCTCGACCCTACCCTCCCCACATTTGAGGGTGGGTGGGTTTAGTTGGTAGCTAGGGTCTATAACCCACATCTAATTTCTTT